TAGCTAATACTTTGAGTACTTGGTATAATAACTTATTATTATTATACCAAGTACTCAAAGCATTAGCTAGCTTCCTAGTGCTACCCAATTCCCCAAAATATGTACCTATGCCATACAACTTTGTCATTATCTTATATCCTGTTGCACATAGTTTGCTACATTATATCTTGCAATAATCCTCAAATTATGCTCAAATGTACCTGTGGAAAACCTTTTAATTGAATTTAATGTACCTACTTTTTTCTGTCAAATTTCTTATACAATGTACTTTTTATACTTTCTTACAATTTAATGGTTACAAGATATACATTGGTTGATAGAAAAAGTGCTTAAAGGTTATGGATCTCTTGAAGTTCCTCTGCTTCCGGACAGGAACCGAGGATGCAGCAGGCATTTCCCCTCTGGATCGCCACACTGAGGCGCTGAAACAATAAACTGGCAGCCCTAGGGTCTCAGGGGACGTCAATGAGTCTGGAGCCCAATTCCTTGAGAAATCCCAAGGCACTCTTACCCCAGGGGCCACGCGTCTCAGACGCTATGGGAACAAAGGTGTATTGACCTTCCAATCGCCTGTACTTGGTTGATTTTGCTATTTCCCTGTGGTTGGCCGGCCCACCTCCTTGATCAGCACCGAGGTGAACGTAGGTGTCAGCCAGGATGGATATGTGTAGTCCCACACCAACTGTTTGCCTATTTTCCAAGGGTATATAGTGATGCCATCAAGGCGAAGTGCGGAGTCATCCGGGTTTTGGTCCCCTAGGATGCAAGGTTCTCTCTCTGCTGGGCACTGAGCTGAGACGAAGCTCCTCTTGATGATGTCATTGACCTCGTTGTGTCTTGCATGCCAGCCCTTTGAGCTTCCGCAATGTTGCGGCGCTGAGCATGGCATCAGCTACTTTTTTCACTAGTGGGTGGTCCCAGCTGGACTGTTTATGTTTTTTTTGTTGGCTCTATAATGGGTGCTGGAGCTGTAAGAGCATCATTCATTGAACATTCGGTGAAAGCAGGATCGTTTATTCCTGCTGAATCACTCAGGGGTTCTGGTAGGATATCTCTTACGAAGTCATGCGATGCATGGGAGGAGGAAAGGAAGGCTGGTAGAGCAATCTGGGAGGCTGTGCGGACACCAAGGCCGCCAAGTCTTACAGGGAGGGTTGTTTACTCGAACTGAGAGTCGTCCAATGGCAGGTTCAGGACTTTCACCAGCATGGCCCTCAGAAGGGTGTCATACACATTTAATTTAGGGCTGTTGTAGGATGGAGAACACCTCAGAAAGTAGGTCAACTTAGGGAGAGATTGGCATCTTGTGAGGAGGAAGAGAGCATCTTGAGCATCAATCTTGTCAATCCTGTCCAGCATTCTCTTTAGATCAGTGATTTTTGCATCCAGGACCTCCTCGATTGCTTGTGGGCCAATGGGGGCCCCCAGGAGGGTACAGTCCGGTGACTCGACAACTAGAATGTCTGGAAGAACATTTTTTATTTGGCCAGTGATGTCTGGGTTGCCGGAGACTATTTCACATTTGGATGCATTGAGGATGAGGCCCAAGGCTGCTCCTTGCTCCTGGATTTTCCTTATATCCTCCAAAATGGTATCCGTGACCATCATCCAGGTACCAGATGTTCAGCTCGCTTGTCAGACTGTCAGTGACCTCTTTGATAGCTAAGCAGAAAAGGAGGGGGGCTAAGGGGTCACTTTGTTGGACTCCTTCACAGGAGTCAATTTCATGCTCCCCATAAAGAATCTTAGTCTCCACTGTAGCACGATCGGATGAATGAGTAAAGGGGACGGAAATGCATTTTTATACTTTTTTATACTTATACAATATATTTTTATACTTTGTTAGTTTATTTTTATACTTTCTTACAATGTACCTGTAAACCTTTTTTTCAACTTTGCTAGAAATTACCTGCTTAAAATTACAACATGTAACAACTCTTGTATGAAAAAAAAAAATGTAAGATTAAGCATCTGCCCGAAACGCTATGCGTGCTAGTGGCTTTACAAGAATGTAAAACTTCAAGTCTCTGTGCTCTCATAAACCCAATGTACCTTATTGTATATAAATAAATAAAAATAAATAAATAAAAATAAATAAATAAAAGGTACATTGTTGTAAAATTTGCACTTAACATAACAACCATGATATAAGATGATGACAGTGATTACAACGGTGAAGTTATATGGCTTAGGCACATATTTTGGGGGTGGCACATGATGCAGTGCAAGTGTGAAGTACTAGGTAGAAAACTATGAGGATGAAATTAGGTACTTTTTGGTGTTACTTTTGAATAACGGAGTAGGTTGGACAGCTTTTTAATTCGTTAGAGAGAGTTCCATAGACTAGGTCCCTTTATTTGCATAGTGTTTACACAGATTTAGTTTGACTCTTGGGATATCAAAGATATTTATTTCTGGTGTGGTGACTATGGGTTCTATTACTATGGCTACATCTAGGCAATTTCGTAGTAAGTGAAAGGTCTACTTTCCCCAACATGTGCTCGATGTTGAAGGGCTCTTTGAGGGTGATAAGTTCTTATTTGAAATTGATTGACATTATGATGTCTGGAGCAGTGGAAGAGATAATGGTTGGTTGTCTGTGGAACATAGCAGTGAATGCAGTGCTCATTTATGTCCTGTAAAGCTGTGAACAAACTTGGTTTTCCAACATTAGTTTGCTTATTGTTAAATATATTTATTTTTATGCTTTTTGTATTTACAAGTTTTCCCTGTCACTTACTTTCTTGATGACAAACGTGTTTATTCTTCAGTCTGGACAGTGAATGCCACTTCAAAGAAAAATGTATTTAGAAAAATAGAAAATGGAGGTTTTCAATTCAGCAGTGGTGATCCCGTCAGGTACAGGTTAACAGGCATGACAATGACAGACTATTTAGTTATATACAGGAATATGTCATGCCCGTTACTGCCTTTGTTACCTTGTTCGGTCCCGACAACATCCTCATTCTCGCTTATATCGTGCTGTGGGTCCTGTTCCCTTTCACCACCAATCTTTTTTTTCTGGGAGTACACACACATTTTGGAAATTCTGGTTGGCTGAATTTGAATTGTTTTGGCGGATTTGGAATTTTTTGTTGGCGGATTTGTTTGTTTATTGTTGGTGGATTTGGAATTTCGTTGTATATTTAGAATATTTTGTTGGCAGATTTGGAATATTTTGTTGGCGGAATTGGATGTTTTGGGTTAGCAATTGGATTTTTTTTTGTCCGGGGAAAAAAAAAAAAAAAAAAAAAAAAAAAAAAAAAAAATCAATCGCCCTCCAGCAAGCCTATTCAGGCGGGCACAACTAGGCTAGTCTTCCTGCAAAACATTGCGAAGTATTATCGCACAAACTTACAAAATATTACTATTTTGTATTAGCATTGAATTTTCCTCGCATGACCAATTAATATTGGATAATCAAGTATTTTTTATATTATCAGGTTGTGGTCGAGTATCATTAAGCAACTTAGCCGCGAAGATATTGAAGGATAATATTTTTACGTGTTGGGCTCTACGCAAATGTAAGAATTTAAGGGAAAAATTACACCTTTGCAGCTGCAGTACTATAAACATTTCATTCACTACATGCAACAGGATCAGCATCAACACTATTTAAAAGTTGTGGCATTAGCAGCAGCACGAGGAGCAGTGGTAGCCTGAAGCAGCTTTAAACTTCAAGCACTAGCAAGCATCGCAACAGCAGTCGCCTCAAGCAGGCACAATGCCTACATGTTTCTCCCCAGTGGCAGAGCTGCTCGTCGAGGCAGAAAGACAACGCTTGTGAGTACAAGTATGACATATCTGTCATCCTACCCGTCACACTATACCACAAACCCTCTTCTGCCTGTCAATAAACAGTCTTTTCATGTAATAAATTTTAAAGCTTTTAATATGTACATGAACTTTGCATGGCAGGGTACAGGGTTGGCAGAGGTGGGGATGAAAGTACAGACCAAGCCAAGGTGCATGTTCAACAAGTTGCTTATTATTTTCCTTTATATATATATCGCCTCATTGTACTTTCAGGAGCCGCGTGCAGGTCGGTAACGAGGACCTTCACCATGAAAACGTCCAGCTGATCGAGCAGATCCAGGATCTGCGCCAGCACATCCAGATGAGGCGGGATGTGCTGGAGAGACGACGGGTAGGTACCACGTGCGCGATGCGAGTTACGCTGGTTAAGTAGTAATGGCAATATGGTGAGAAATGGTTGGGTCAGATAATGTTATGGAACATTGCGGGCGTGTTGCAGATGGCAATTTCCGCATTAATCACGCCAAATGTTTCAATCTTGTACATGTGGGAGTATTCACTTTTGTTCCTGGAATTTTATGCTGTTAAGGCCTACCATCAGTTTTAAACATTTTTAGAATTACTTTTATGCTTTCAGAGATTTCGATTGAGTCTTCAGGGTGGAGTGTACAGAGTCTACGCGGACCTGCCAGCTAGCGACCCTTGACCTTCCCACACCTAGGCTGCCGTCTGGAGGAGGGGATCAATGAGTGGTCTACCTTGTGTAGGGCCCAGTTGGGTATACATTTTCACCAGGGAAGACCTTTTGGTCCATAAAATTTTATATAATCTGCCCTTTTAGAACACGGCCCGTTGTTTTAGTATTGTGTTTAGGACAGTGTTGCCGAGTATGAAACTGGCACAAACGCGTGTCAGTTTTAGAATGTTAAGTGCGACGTTATGGCTACTATGCAATAATATTTTTGCAATATTTTATTTTCTTAATGTTCTTGCAGAGTTAATGCCAACACTAGTGGGCTTCCGTCGTATAATTAAATAGTTACAGCTTTTTAAATACTACCGACTTTTTAGCTTCAACTTGAAGTGTATTTCAGTCTCTCCGATCCATAGGCGGCTTACCACAGTAGGATTTTTTTTAGCATTTAAGTTTAAAATTAAGATTTTTTTTCGAACCTATTAAGATACTTTTGTTATATATTTTTTTTATTAAATTTAATATAAAATGTTGTACTCTCTCTCTCACATCAGAATAGTACATAATTTTATTAGAAAACAAACTGAATCTTTTAATATCAAGTACGCCAGCTTCTTTAAGGAATCTCAAATGGTTGTGACGTCCAGTATTTATAACAAGTGGCAACACCACATCAGTAACAAATTACGCAAACCTTTAAATTTGGTTTATAAACCTAACGGTATGCAAATATTTGTTATGCTCAAGATACTGAACATTAAACGGCAATTCAGAAACCCATACAACAATCTGAGTGTACAACAAGCTTGATCTATAAATTAGAGTAAGGCATCACTGCCTCCAGCCCACATCGCCAGAAGGTACAGCGATCCTAAAGGCTGCAGTTCAGGACACTACGGGAGCGTGGCCATCCTGGTCGTGTTGGTGCGCATCTGCCGGTCCAGCCTCTGTTAGCGGCTCCTCGTCATCACGTCCTCTGAAGTACCTCTTGCCTTTCGTCGTTGCTTTACTGGTGGTGGTGTCTGTAGTGGTGCTGGTGCTGATAGTGGCGGTGGTACTGGTACTTTTAGTAATGGGCGGTTTCATCTTAAATTCCGACATTTTGTTCAGCTGAAGAATTTGTAGGAAATTAGTTAAGATTATTCGAAACTGCAATGGAAATTATATGCAAGAAACGCTAGTCTGTCCTAAATTAAACAAACATTCTTAATAACTGAAGACAGGATTAAGAAAACTGCTGTTAACTACCACCCTCCCCCCCCTCCTCCCACCTTTGATAAATGTCAACAATTGTCACGTTAGAAACTAGTACCTGCTCATGCCCCTTCCTGAGAACTATACTGTATACATCAGTGGGGTATCCGGCAGTGCCCAGGTCTCCCCTACACTAGTACCCTGTGCCAACCCCCCAACCTCCCTCCAGTTCCCCAGCCTCCTTGAACTCTATGGACTTTGGGTGTCACATTTCATATCCAGCACCTTCAAAGGTGAATATGAGCCGACTACATCTCAAGGTAAGCATGGGGAAGCACAGCCCGACCCCCCTATAATACTGCCCCATAAAATCACCTTTAATTCTGCGAAGTTTAATGCTGCATCTGGCCTTCAACCCCGGACAAACAGACTTGTACATACATTATTCATTGAGAACAGAAATCAACTAAAAAAACCATCCGATAAAAAATTTCCCGAAATCTAACTACTTGCAACAAGACTCCAAATAGCAGTCTAGCAGTGAAGATCTTAAACACTGCAGCTGCCACCAGACCGTAGTGACAGACGCAAAGCTACATAAATTTGGCGAACAACTCTTATCCTTGACACCACATTACCTGCCCACTAGAGCGATGAATCTTTTTTCCAACAAAGCCTCGCATGTCCTGTTCTTTCCTCACCCTACGTCGAGGCGGAACTTGTCTAGGAAGGCATCAACTCCAAAAGGTGACAAACATTACCCGAATGACTATCGACATCAAACATTAAACATCTCTTCTAGCAGTTTCACTAGTGACTAAATGCAATCACTTTAAATGAAAAAGTTTGGGTAGAATCTTACAAACACGACTTCTTGCCTTGTGGGAAGTGCTTCCCACAAGCCAGAAAGCCTGACATTTGCTCTATACTATTGTTCTTAATGCACCTCCAGCCCTGTCCCGACGGTGACCTGGGAAAGTCCTTCAGAAGTTAACATTAACCAATCTTTGTGTTCAGTGAGAAAGACGTTGGGGTGGGATGTGGGCGTTAGTAGTAGTAATTACCAAGAGATAGAAGTATAACCCATACGTAGAACCAGCGGTGTCAAAAAATACCTAGACAAATTAGGATTCCACTAAGAGGACAAGAAAAAAACGAGCAATGTCCAAATTGTGAAACTGGCCAAGATGTAATCGAGGGATGGAACTGTATAAATAAATGTAGTTACCAAGTAACAGCCCAGAGAGAAGTTGACGACAGCTGCAGCTGTGGGAAGCACGGAACGGTCGACGCACAAGGTGGCCGCAGTCCCAATAAACAGCAGTGTGCACTCCACAATCAGGTAACATGCCTAAGCATCAATGTATATATTTGATGAAAAGTTACTACCTAAATTTATCACTACCACCTGTTATCCACAGCAACAGTCTGCCATCATTAAGGCCAACAGTGTTTACACCAAAATTCTTTCATGCAATTATTTTACAAATTATTCACATGTTACTCTGTGCATGATGAAATTTGGATTAAAATGATACTTCACTTTCTACTACTGATACAATCTGACCTGCAGGCAGAGCGAGGCCTTATGATGTGCTGAGGTGAGCATCTCCACCACCAGGGCTGGCAGGATCTGGCCCAGGACCACAGCGTCGCCACACAGCATTACCACAGAACCCCACGAGTTCCTAATACTGTTCCACTCGCCACTCGCAGTCAGCAGGACCGCCACACTTGCCGGCACCTGTGGAGATTTATCTTAGTGCTTCATCTGTAATTTAAGATGTATCCACAGCCGAGTCGTCGTCCGCTTCAAACTGTGGGCGTAACCTCTGGTATACAAGGAGTGTTATGAACACTTCTGAAGCGAAGCTTGTACTTGTCGACACCTCGGCTCCAACCACAAGTGAGGCCAATGTGAACCCCGTTGTTACAGGTGTCTGGGTGACAACCATCCCATACGACTAGTTTGGGCCAGCAGGGTTTACCCCTTATTAGAACTCTGGAATATCCGACTAGTGCGACCCTGAAACTTTGAAGTGTCCTTCCCTATAGGCGAGGTAATATTTTTGCAACAATACGAACACTTTTCGCCCCCCCCCCCCAACCTCTCCCAGCCATAAAATTCAGATCATGAGAAAACTGAAAGCCCGGGATGGTTGGATATAGCAGACGTTTAAATTAAAAGTTTTATAAAAGATATTGCCCACAGGTTTTCCCCATAGCAACTCTTTGGAACTTTAGTTATAAATTTAATGGAAGACTAACATGTCAGCAGGTTCCACTCACCAGTAAAAAGAAGTGTTCCGACAGGTTTTTACCAAGAAGTTTCTTGGTCGAGGTGCCCGAGGCAGCGTCCTCCACAGTAGCCAGTGTGGAGAGCGTTTGTTTGGGTCGCCTTTCACTCATCTCCCCGGATATATTTCTTGCCAAAACACTGAACGCCTCCGGCGTCTCCCTCAGTATATCCGGAACAGTGAGGCACAAAATGGCTTGCAAGAAGGTCAAAATACTGGTCAGGATGGCCAAGATCATGAGCGTTGGGGTGACATAGTAAGAGCCGATGACTACCTTAACGAAGAGAGGAGAGGAAACCACTGCCAGGCCGATGTACAGTAACGCACATATCATAGCCGTACACGCTCTCTGGAGGGAAAGACGACATGAGCGTTTTTCTGTTCAGGGAAACTAAACGCCGTTGCTTCAAGATCAACCTATATTTTATACTGCATTTGTTACAAGTTCTAAAACACATGGGACCAGGCATTCCAAATTTTTTAATTTTAGAAATCAAACTTTTAGCAAGCTAATAATTGTTACCATTACCTCCCAATCACAGCCATATTTATGCTACAATCTTTACACATTAGAATGCAAATACTGCTAATTCTCTTCCTTCAACCCTTACACAAAGCATTCCTTGGCAACTACCATACTGTCCACACACTTCCACACAACACTTGACACACTGATAGACCCACCAGAGGGTTGTTTAACGGTCCCATAAGGTGAGAAAAAATATCTTGGATGACAACGGAAGCCCCGTAGGCGCAGGCGGTAGCACAAGGGAGGACGTAGGCCTCAGGGTAACGGACGACGGAGGAGGACCAGTAGCCCAGGTTGGTTTTGTAGTCTGGTACCCCAAATAACATCCACGACTTGTAGAAGTTTATGGTCAGGTACACTACCAGAGTCTGCGAAATGAACTTGCGTTTACTCTGTTCAAGAATTTTAATGTTATTCAATGAGTTACACTGTCTATAAATGGGTATAGCGTACAGTAAAATATTATATCACCCCAACAAGTCTCGTTGTAATGTACTGCTCTAGCCAATTACTTTAAGCTCAATACATTTAAAACCGTCTTTCGAAAGAATATTTTAGAAGTATTTTTGGTTTAACAATACTGAACATTTTTACGCAAGGCCCTATTGGCCCTAACTTCAGTTCCCTATAGCCAAGATTAAGATGCAAATATTTAAAGTGAGAAGCATTATTAGAGCTGACCGGCGTTTTAATTTATAAATTAATTTATTAAATTTGTATTTAACATTTCCACGGAAATATTAAACAAAAATGTATTTTCTTTCCACGCTCTTCCTCTTTGCCAACGTGGGAGGAAGTCATGCAAGGAGTTCAGTTTTACTCTGACAAGACGAACTCTGCAACGTTAGTAGGTTCATGTCTAAAGGCTCGGCAACAAAGCAGGGATATCTGAACAACCAGTGGTGATCAAGAGAGCAGAACAAAGGCTACGGCTACTTTGCCAATAATTCCTACGGTTTGTTCTCTAAAACCCCTTGCAAACAGGAACTAAACTCCAAGCGAGGCAGCTTGACCTCATACAGATGGTCGCTGCTAGTTTACTTCCGAGCCAATGGGGCTTTTATATAGCATTATTTTTAACAAGTCTTGTAGACAAGAAAAGTTCTTACCGTCCTGGCTAGGAGCAGTAAGGCACCCTGAGTAAAAAGCTGATGCAGCTGCAGGCTTGGCCAGCCAGTCTTCTGGCGCCGCAGCTCCCACATCGACACCACAACCTACAGCGTCACCAAGGGCAAAAGAATTATTGATTTATATACAAGGTACATTGAGGGTTAACAGAGAACATAGAACTTAAGTTTATTTTTCATTCTTGTAAAGCCACTAGCACGCATAGCGTTTCAATATGGATTATACTTCCTACGTCCGCTTTATCCAAAGTTTTAGCGTCATGATAGCTTAAAAAAGTATCATTTTGCATATACTAGCTGTATTAGAAATTTTAATTACATTAAGTAATGCATATATGATTGGAGGTTATTTACTATGCAATGGGAACCCTAACTGAACATAGGACTTCGCTACTAAGCCTTGTGGATGAAAATAGAGGCACAAATAGCAATAGACGTTACGCAACTGTTTATTGTTTCAGTTTCATGTGAACCTGCTGAAGTAGATCTGACAATGTAAGTAAACTATCAGCAGAACTACTTAACATGCCTTACGTCACTAACCGAATGTGAAAAAAATTATTACAAATTTTAACACCAGCACGCATATCATCCAGAAGCATATACTACCAGATATCTTTGTAAAATACCCAATGTCTGCTTAGGTCGTGTAGCTCATAGGAACTTTCCACCACCGTCAATTGGATGGGTGCGCGTGTAGGGGAGGGGCATGACGTTTGTAACTTGCCCGCCACGTGTAAACGCTATTCAATCACTTGGGGCTGGACGGTAGAGCAACGGTCTCGCTTCATGCAGGTCTGAGTTCAATCCCCGACCGTCCAAGTGGTTGGGCACCATTCCTGCCCCCCCCCTTTCCCATCACAAATCCTTACACTGACCCCTTCCCAGGAAGGGGGTCAAGGTAATATAGTCTTAATGGCTTGGCACTTCCCCTTGATAATTCCCTCCTTAAGACTTTTAGTGTTTTAACCAACTGGGCTATAATTGCCTTTATATATATAAATTATACTAAGCTTTAGATTGTTTAATGAATTTCGGGGTTATTAGAGGCCATTGTACGACTTCCAACTGCCGCTCACGAGACGGGTATATACGAGGCGCATAATATACAGGCAAGTCACCTGAAGGCTGAGGAGCACCAGCAGGGCTGCGTGTACCCCAATCACCCAGGCAGACGCCACCAGGAAGAAGTCTCTCTCATTGTTAATTTTGTTGGCGTTGGCATTGTACACTAGCGTTGTCACCAGCGTCAGCAGCCACAGCACTGACGACGTGTGCAGGCTCTAGTCGTGGAAGGGCAATAAAGACGTTCTAATAAATACAAATTAAATGCAATATATTAAAGAAATAGGAAGCAAAGGTAAATTTCTGTATTTAAACATGACAGAGGAGCGAGTTACTACTAATAGTTGTGCATTCAGGGAAGCCATTACTGATGTGAACACAGATTGTCTGAAGACTGTAGTACACTAACAGCAGTGGTAGCAAAGACCCTCCTGGAGAAGAGGCCACCCAGGATGATTATTCCCGAAGCTATGACGCAAGCACCGCAGGGCAAGACCACGTATAGTTTGGGGTTCAAACCATAGTTGGCGTAGCGGTAGGAGGTGCTGACGAAGGTCTTGTATTCAAGCGATTGCATCTTCCTCAGGGCGGAGGAATCGTGTCTGGAAGAGATATTGGAAATAAGCAGAGACGAAATAACCTTCACTTCCGTCTTTGGTCAACACCATATTTCTTTGGGAGCAACATTTATAATTTTATTAGCAAATGGATACGAGAACATGACCATGAACGAAGATTAGAATGGGAACTGACCAAGAGCTTCCATTTGTGCGTACATACTTGTGCCCATAGTTTAAGTAGGGGTTGTCATAGGTGCTGGGCGTGGTGTTTGAGGGCGGGGAGGTCACTGGTGGTTTTGGTGACGGTTCCACTGGTGACCCGAAATTTATTGCTACCAACCACAGTCCGAACACTGCCACGAACTGTTACAAAGTTGACTTTTTTTAAATACTTATTAAATTTTAATTTATGACTTCAGGGAAAGCATTATAAATATAATGAGAACGGGTTGTGACATTTGAACTATTAAAGACCTTACCAAGAGCAAACAGTAGGTGAGGAGCAAGACCCAGGCAACGACACTCGTCTTGACTGCATTATTTGCAACATTTCCTGCAGCATAAGGGTGTTTCATAACTAGAATATTCGCCTTTCCACTATTGTCTTACACTTTAAAGCAGTATTTTAAATATTTATTGTACATGTGAATATCACACATTCTATCTGCAACCATCTATGACGAACAATTTCAGCTTTTCGCAGAATAAGGTATAATTCTATACATACAGGTGGTGGTGTGCCTGTCCCAAGAGGAAACTAACTGCCTGGGGCCAAGACATTGACACTAAAAACTTAAGTTTCCTACGTGGTCAGCGCAGCGGCCGAGAAGTCCCGGGTTAGACTCCCGAGCATGTTAATTAATTTCGGCAAATTTACCATGTGATGGCTCTTCATCTAGCAAAATTGTTACCCAAAAGTTGTGTAACCAGACCATTATTTCCCTTTGCCACTCCGTAAGAAATGGAACAGCTTTGCTCAACTACCGACTTACTAACCTAAGCAACTAACCCGTCTTCTTACAAACTATGTCGCTTTTCGCTCGTATGCGCTACGGGGAAAAAAAAAATTAAAATTCGGGGATTTTTTTTTCTTCCAAAACAAAGTTATAAGGGTCCGGAAAGTTAAGTTTTCAAGAGTCACGGAAACCGTTAATTGAAAGTTTCTTCTCCTAATCTAACATCTCAAGCCAGAGGAACCAAAACAGGAAACGGGACAGTACGTCACTTTCGTGAGCAGATTTCATTTTGAATTTTTTTTTTTTTAGCCCAAGTGCGCATACGAGCGAAAAGCGACGTAAATTGTAAGAGGACGGGTAGCGTACCTGGAGGAGGTGGAGAGGTTATGAGAGCAGTTCTACTCGAGCCCAAACTGAGGGTCAGGCTTTACTTATGAGCTTGGTCCAACATTGTTTGGAGTGACCCTCGAGCCCACATTCACTACAAGACAATGCAAAGAAAATATCAGCATATATGGGCATCTACCAATGGGTCAGTAGCCTATTGTGACGTGTGTGTATACTATAGTTAGTTCAGTCATCCAGTAACATGAGATTTGTGAAATCAGTGGATTGGCTATTGGATAAATTATGAGTTCGTGGCAACAGTTTGTATACACACAATCTTAAGGTACATACAAATAAAATACCATTTCTAGCACAGTATTCGTATATCGTTACAACCCGAAGCTTTGCACCACAACTGCATACACATTAACGTGGCCTCAGCTGCTGCCACTGGTTTAACAAACCCGCCTCGGTAGTTAACCATAATATTCTTTCAGTAAACCTTAGACTTAAAGTATACCCCCGGTAGCTGCCAGTCCCAATGCGTCAGGACCTAAATACATAATTGTATATTTCTGAAGTCATCAAATGTTAAGACCTATGCAATGCAAATAAAACAGCCTGATGGACGTTATGCATACAGGAAACCCCCCAATAATTTACCTTCGTGGTCTGGGGGTTCACTGGCGTTGGGCTTCTTAAGAGATGGAGCCGTCATTACCGTCATGATTCCCAAAGGTCCAAGAGTAGTGTCACTCTCCAGATGATACCCAGGACTGACCGCTGCCAGCGACACCACGTAGCTGTGCGGCGTGGGAGCCCCGTTTACCCAAATTATGCTTCGAGACCTCAGGCGTGAAGTATCTCAGAAATGCATGAGGACAGGTTGTCGGTCATTATCAAAACAGAGGGCCGGCTGGTTCACTTGTATATAGTACAAAATGTTGACTAACCCATACTGTAATAGTCCGTATTTTGTACATGTATAAATCTGATTGTTCATTGATACGACTCGAGACTTGGTTCATTCACTTCCAGCCTGTACTGTGTACGATCCCAAAACTTTTCAAATCCTAACTATGCATAAATCTTAATGAAAAAAAATACGCTTTTTAAATCTCAGCATATAAAAGATGCTAGTCAATTACTGACTTTTTAACGTCAGGGAAATAAGACGGTATATGAACTCTGAACTTGGGGTTTATCCTCGTACGTGACAATATATTCACCGACATGTGTACTGTATATTAATTCGCAAGATAAAATCACGAGAGATACAGCGAACGGTGTTCAGTTTAGTACTGCAATATGTTTAGGACTAAATTATACTTTCTAGCTACTTAGTACGCAAATTTGGTGACCTTACTAGCCCGAACGTTTAGTAGTAGTTTAGTTCATTTATTATCCATCCTATACCCTATCTTGTGGGCGGTAGTGGATAGGGTTACAGAGGCACATATTGTGTTCAAGGACTGAACCCCACAATATCATTTAGCTAAGCAAGTTACAGTCTTGATGAGAAGCAAATTAGAGATCAGCTCAAGCTTCGTCTTGAGGCAAAGCTCAACGTATTAAGCCTTATTGATGCTATGTCCTCAGAGCATTCTCTCTCAAATCATATACACTGATGGTTCCCTACACCGCCCCAGGGGTCCAGCTGGAAGTGCAGTTGTCCTGAAAATGGCCTCAACAATAGGCTCGAAACCTACCACAAGTACAGTTAGTAAGTTAAGCAACTGACAAATGTGGAGAACTAGTGTCACAATTTATATTAACATTATATATATATATTAATATTATATAGTGTCTATTAACCTTATTTAAATTACTAATCAAGCTGTCAATGTAATCAATTAGAGCTTTAATATAACAATGTGCTTTATTATACTTACTTAACTCTCTCATCTCATTTTTCTCTTGTAATGTATCTTTATCATTTATCAATTCTGATTGAAATTACCTACTTAAAATTATCTGCTAGATTAAGGACCTGCCCGAAACGATGTGCGTACTAGTGGCTTTACAAGAATGAAAATACTGTACTATCCAATGTATTCTCACAAACCCAATGTACCTTCTTGTATATAAATAAATAAATAAATAAATAAATAAATAAATAAATAAATATGTTTATCCTAACCCATCACCGCTCGCCCCCATCCAATGGGCAATCGTGGATAGGTTACAATTATCACTTAGTTACTACCTACAGTTAGCAGACTGAGGATATTTAGTTCAGGTAGAAGATAATTTTGAATGAAATATTTACACATCTATTGAACATGTTTTATAGAATTGTCTCTGAATTAATTAAAACCTTACAATTTGTACTTTACTTCTATGTTTTGTATACATTCTTTTGAATAAACATTGTATTGTATTAATGTGTCAGGGTTGTGACAGGATTGGGTGGCATTGCGTAGGCTCACCTGAAATTGATTCCTCCCTATTTACTTCTTATGTTGCCAAGTTCTGCTCTCCTCTGTCCCTGATGAGTCCCCTTATTTGAATTTATTCTCTGTAGTGAGATAGCACCAGCACCCTTGATGGATAGCACCTATCCATCAAGGGCCCTCCCAGAAAACCACTGATGAATATGTTGAAATGCCACTGTCTGGTGGTTTCTCTATGGCTTCGTGCATTCTCCCTTGCCCTTTATGTGCACCAGTTGTTTTTGGTCAACCATAGTCTGAAGAGTTTCCCCGAAGCAGGTTAAGAGCACCTGGTGCCACCACCTGGCAACTGGATTGTATTAGTGGTGAACACTACTATGTGCTGTGTTTTCAGAATTGTTCACGTTTACCTTGCTGCTGTTTCTCAGTTAGGATGTCCAACCAGTTGGGCTGGATGGTAGAGGGACGGTCTCGCTTCATGCAAGTCGGCATTCAATCCCCGACCATCCAAGTGGTTGGGCACCATTCCTTCCTCCGTCCCATCCCAAATCCTTATCTTGACCCCTTCCCAGTGCTATATAGTCGTGATGGCTTTGCGCTTTCTCCCCCTGATAGTTCCCTTCCCCTTCCCTTCTCAGTTAAGATTATCTAGCATCTCCTGCCCTTGCACCCCTGAGTGGACCAGGATTTGGGCTCTGGTAGACATATTGACTCATTTGTAACCTATATAACCAACAATTCACTCGAGAACCTCCGGCAAGAGAGAATTTGAATAACCAAGATATCGAATTAGTCCTCTGCAACATATTTGTTAGTATCTAACCACTACACTGACTGCCACCAGATGGTAGCACCAGCCTGACCAACAATCTTGAGAGCTAGTAGATGATGCTTGTATGCCTGGTAGGCCACCTTTCTAGAGACATTTCTTCAGAGAATTATTAAAGTAAGTTTTCAGACTAGTTTTAAATTAATACGTATGGCTCTGCACAGTGGGTTTCATGCTTTCTATATAGCATGATGCCTGATGTTTGCATCTGACTTTAGATATCAGATTCAGCTTTGTTTCAGGATAATTTTCTTTGCCTGAGTGGTATAGCCTTCAGTGCATTGTGGCTGCTGTAGACTTGAGTGACTGCCTTGGCATTGGGCTTTAATTTTACACAATGTTAGGCTGTTCACTTCATCCCCAATTAGGAGAGCCTGTTTCTGTCTCGCCCTTTCAGGTTTTGTTTTAGGGTGCTAAAGTGGCCTTTTTTTTTTCTTTGAAGTCCATAGCTACAAAGCTGTCTGTTCTTTAGTGGTAATGGCACTTGGTGAGCAAACACAAATACATGCCTCTGGCAACTTAGGGTGTTGTGGGTCTGCCTCCCATGAATTTATTTTGACTTCCCTGGCAGTAATGGATGGTCCCGCCTATATAATGAAAAATCTAAATGTGAAGACATTTTAACATCTGGATTGCTTCTCACAAGCCCAACCTTTACACCTTGTTTTTCAAAGGTAGCATCATGACTAACAGTGTATGTGAAACCAGGCCTATCATCTCATGTTCAAAACGTTCTTTTGCTCAAGATTTTTTATGAAATATTGTGGGAACTCATTCTAATTATCAAATAAGGAGATACAGTATGGCCTTTTAACCATTCTCAGGATAGTATTTATGATTCCTTCACTGAGAAATTCAAACTTCTACTGATCAAAATGCATTGAAACTCTGAAATATGCAGCATTAAAATTTTATGCCAGTAGTCATATAAAGGACTATTGAAAAATCCTCAAAGAACATCTACTGGCACATGATTCTGAAAATCATCAAAAAAGTATGAAAGCTGAATGATCCATCAGCTGCAGGTTAATTGTTGGAAAAATATGGCAAAACTTAAGATCCTCTGGCTAACAACAGCAGCAATTTTCTTTATTGCATATACAGTGGAACTTCAACTTAAGACCCCAATTTTGTCAGAAAAATGCAACTCGACTTACGACCTTTGCCTTGACTAGTGACTTTGTTGATACACGTATGGGTCGAACCACGCATGGACGTGATTCCTGGCGGCAAGGGCGACCCCACCTCAGTTTACCAGAGCCACCTGCTTAGTGATGATCGCGCTTGTAAGGAATTTCATTGTTTTTGTGCTTTTTTGTTTTTTGAACATGAAGTAATTATTTTATAATGTAATGGGTCACAAGAAAGTGTGGTAAGGTTTATCCTAAGAGAATAATTGTGAGTAGAGGCAGTAGAGAATGTCCCTTCCTCATTAAGAAAATGTGTGAAGTATGGGATGAACTGCAAAGTTTTGTTGAAAAACTCGCCCAGATAAAGCTGTAGTAGGCCGTTGCTTTGACTTTTTAAATGACAATGTGATATCTCACTACAGACAAGTGTTAAAATGTAGGGAAAAACAAGTGTCTTTAGACAGATTCTTAGTAAGACAAGCAAGCAACGAGCCACAACCAAGTCCTAGCGGTATGCCTGCAAAACATAGGAGAGAGAGAGTACCCCAGAGAAGTCATCACTGGCTGATGTTATAATGGAAGGGGACTCTCATTCCAAACAGTAACACCTCTCCTCACCATTTTCCATAAGCCAACAAGAGTCCTCAATAAAGGTAAGATATACATACAGTTCTGTATTGTAGCTAGCACAAAAAGAGTGGTATACGGTATAAAATGTATTTTTAAGTTAATATTTTTTGGGGGTGAAACGGATTAATTAAATTTACATTATTTCTTATGGGAAAATTCATTTCGAATTACGACCCGTCTCTGGGAACGGATTAAATTCGTAAGTGGAGGTACCACTGTACTGTATACTGTATTATAATTAATATAATATAATATACAATATAATTTAGGGTCAGGTTCGTTCTCGATGCACAATCGAGTATTCCGGATTCGAATCCTGGGCGTAACAGAAATGGTTGGGCACATTTTCTTTCATCTAATGCCTCGGTTCACTTAGAAGTAAGAAGGTACACAGGAGAGTTAGTTTGTTGTGGGGTTGCGTCCTGGGCTGAATCAGTAATTCGACCTTTGTGGGGAGGGGGGGGGGGGTGGTTACCGATATAAGCCTAACGTGTATGAATACCCTTTGGCTTCCTGTCCCCCGAGACAATAAATTATAATATAAACTTTCAGAGATCCATGTCCTTCAACTTCTATGGAAAGTTTTATTTAAAAAATATAAATTTAGTGTTACAATGATTTCGAACATTCAATAGCTTTTTCTCTCAAAAACATGAGCTCAGAGACCTCAATTTTGAATTCCTGAGAAATTTAAAATTAATTTCAAAGGGATACAGTACTGGATAAATGTCAGTCAGGTCAAAGAAAGACAAAATAAACATTCTTTCAGTTTCCCACTGGGCAGGAAAATACATAAAATAAAGTACTTTACGTTTAAATGAGCAAAATACAGAATCACGGAAATGGTGCATTTATGGTTATTCACACCTACAAACTTGTTTAACTTTATTTTTTTATTTAAGTAATTTGTGACAATGATAAATTATAATAAATAAATTTATATACAATCAATCAAAATGATAATAAATACAACACCAGTAATGTATGATTAACGAAAATGATAAATACAACACCAGTAATGCATGATTAATGAAAATGATAATAAATACAATACCAGTAATGTATGATTAATGAAAATAAATACACCAGTAATGTATGATTAATGAAAATGATGATAAATACAACACCAGTAATATATGATCAATGAAAATGATCATTAAATGAAAAAACATACCCAACTATGTATTGCTTGAGTATAATTCTTACATAATTCTTTTTATTTTCTTAGGCATGGGTGATTTATTGTTTAAATAAATATAAACGTAAGCAAATTTTTTTTATAAATATAACACATGTACAGTACTCGACTGCAAAGTACTTAATTCAAACTTCTAATAATTATAAACCATATTTTATATGACTCAGGATTATATCACAATTATTTCACTATCACAGAACTGTTAAAAATAAATGTATCTACACAATACCCTTTCAAAAATAGAACAAAATTCACTGGAAAAGTATCAACAAATGTACATATACATATTACACGCAATGTTAATAAAAATTTGTACTCATTGCAACTTAAATCTATATTTGAGACTCCTGTGTCTAGAACACAAAAAGCCATGGAGTATCATAATAGATCCTGGAACAATCTTATTTTATTTCCTGGTGTCCCAAAGGCACAATCGTTGTCTGTAAGTCGAATGCAAATTTGACCACTTGAAAAAATATAATCTTATAACTCCATTACGGTTCACTTACGTTTAAGTTTTGTACACAGTCATTATCCTTCAGTGTATCATAGACATGGAATGAATGATTGATTGTGTACATCACTTAGTTTAATGACTACCTCTGAGTTGGACAAAATCGAGAGTACAAAATAAGGCTGTTTTGGGTGCAACCCAAAAAACCATGGCCCAATTTTTTTTGTTTTGTTTTGTTTTTTTAATGTAGGGATATTTCTGCATGGGCCCTAAGCCTCTGGCTGGCCCACTAACTTGGCCCAATGAATAAACAAGATTCTGAGCTTGGTTTTTGGTAGGCTGCAGAAGTACTGCACAAGCATGTGGAAGTCTTAGTGCCTTCAGCACTGGGAAGCTACTGAAGCCATCCTAGGAAAAAATATACAGTGCTATATTGCCAATATTGGGTTTGCAAGGCACCACCGATTTTAATGTTTATAAACTCCTACAGAGTGAAGCTATTTATGGTCACACTTTTATATATATATATACAATATGTACTCAAATGACTGATCCAATATCACTGTAGTAGGAAGGAAAAAAATCACTTGAATAATGTTTATCCAGCTAATTTTAAAGGTGAAGCATGATTTGTGTGAAGAGCCATTGACTGTAGAAAATACAATATGAAAACTTTTATACAATACAGGACTCATTTTCAATTAGTGAAGCTATTTATTGGCTTAGAACATTGATTTGGTTATCAAAATGTACAGAAATGAATGGACATGAATATATATTCTGCAAAAAAAAAAAAAACTAATAGCCAATGTAAGGTATTTTAATTATTCTGCATCAATATGATGCAGTAATAATGGTTAGATAAAACATTTGTACAAATTTAAGATTGGATATTGCAGAATTGCAATATTTGATCAGGAAGGAAAAAGTAGATGATGCAGTACAGCATCATTGTAACACAAGTGTGTTAATATTCTACTAGTGAATCTTTCTTTCTTGTTCAGATGCATGCACTTCTTCATAAGTAGCATTGAGCCAAGCAACAGCCAAGCGCAGAGGTGGACTGGAAAATATTGGATACCCCAGAGGAGGATCTGCAGCCTGAATAGTAAGATTACGTAAAAGGCCTGGCTGAGCCTGTAAAGACAAAATTGGAATTCATAAATTTTAAGTATAGTACTGCATAAGATGAAAATGATTTTGTGAGTGATGCATAAAGTTAGTCATATAATGGGTTTAGGTACAGTACAGTGGAACCTTGGTTGCCGAACGTCCCTCTTTACAAAATTTTTGGGTTACAAGCTCAATTTCTTCGTAAAATTCAAATCGGTTTATGAGCTTTGCCTCGCTTTACTAGTTTGTTGATACACATATAGGTCGACCAAGCGCGTGGTTCCTGGTGGCATGGGTGACAGCTCTTCAGTTTACCAGTGCCTCCTGCCTAGTGACGATCACACTTGAATTCTTTGTAAAGAATTTAATTGTTTCTCAGCTTTTTTGGTTTCTAAACATAAAAGTAATTTATATACCACGCCATGGGTCCCAAGAAAGTCGGTGGTAAGGTTCAACCTAAGAAAACACATGTGAGGATGACCATAGAGGAAAAACAAGTCGATGGAAAGGTTCTTAGTGAGACAAACAAGCAGTGAGCTACAACCAGTTCCTAGAGGTATGCTGGCAAAATGTAGGAGAGAGAGTACCCCAGAGAAGTCATCACTGCCTGATGCTATAATGGAAGGGAACTTCCCTTCCAAACACTAACACCTCTCCTCCTCCCCTCTCTCTTCACCTTCTTTCATATGCCAACAAGTCATAAATATAGTTAAGCTATACCTTGTATACACTATAGTACAAAATATTTGTGTGTATTATGTAGGAAATGTTTTTGAGGTTAATATTGTTAAGAGTGTGGAACGGATTAATTCAATTGACATTATTTCTTATGGGAAATTTTTTTTGGATTGTGAATTTTTGGTTTACGAGTCATCTCTGGGAACAGATTAGATTAAAAACCAAGGTACTGTACCACTGTACTATAGAAGACGGCTATCATTCAGATCCTGATTTTTGTTAGTGCATTCTTCAATTTCATGCTTTAGTTTCAATGACTTGCCTTCCTTCACGTAAAATAATATCAAATGCATATATAGTACAGACAGTGCTCAATCTGCACAAGGAAAGTGTTCCTGGGAAGCCTTGTATAGAGCAAATTCACATTATGAGAAATTTTGAGTTAACACCATTAAGTTTCATGTAAGTCCAAAGATCCACTTTTTTCCACAACTCTGTTTTTAAATAAAAATCTGAAACATATTAACACAGTACACTGTAAAAATAAATGGTTTCACAAAAACATGCACCTGAAAAATATTGATATACTGTACTGTACTCTCACCACTTTCCAGCTAATGTATATAATCCTATTACTTCTGTATAGTAATACTTCTGTATTATTATACAGAAGTAATAAAATAAGTGATTTAATGAAAACATAAAACATTAATTCTGATAGTTGCTCTTCTTCAATATACTGTATGTACATTCATATGTTTTTATATATATATATAAAGTATACTTATAAAGTATACCCACCACTGGCTAAGTTACATCATTAAAACACTTTTGGGTACATTCAAAGTTACCTTAATTGGGAGCAATATCTCTACCACAATACACATTTTGCCTCATCTGAAATCACCAAAATATGACCAATGTTGACAAGAGAGGCATCAGTGAAATGTGTGTGTAGAATGGGGTGTTGATGACTTTAATCCTGAGCATTGAAAACATTTGCCAGACATACCTGTATGGAGTACCGTTCATCATCATCATTGGTTAAGTAGAGCAATTCTGCAACTAGAGAGGCCCACAGACCTCTCACTGTCTCACTGCCCAGACATCCAACAGCTATATCTGCCTCCCCAAGGGTCAGAAGATGTGATGTATACACGCCCTGAAGGTTAAAACATCAGATATTATTTCACATATATAAAATACTTGTAATGAGTAATTTGTTATCCAGAATCTAGGAAACTGCTCCACTACATACATTAATCTGATATGTTATATTCTACATCACTATATTAACACTGATAAATGTGTCATGATAGATTTCGGCAAAAAATAAAAAGTTGGATCAGATTGAGTTCCACCCTATGTACTGAGAGAATGTGCTTATGAGCATAGCAACTCGCTATACATCCCGCCAAACACACACCGAAACTATGACGTTGGTACAACGTTCGAACAAGTTTTAAAACCTAACCAGTTATAACAACCAATATAGCAAGTTGTAACGTTTTAATACGTCATAAACACGTTAAGCCAAGATGTAACAACTTTATTACAAGTTGTAACAAGCAGAAAATAGAGACAGTTACGGTTTGTGTTTCCAGGGATATTATTGATGCATTCAATCATTGTTGAGGATGAAACACTTTTATAAAACAAAATATTTTTTTTTATTTTTTTTTTATTTCTTGTGCCTGGGCATGTTGCAGGCTATAATCACAAGTGCATACCAGGGGTTAAGGGTTAATTTCCAAAATACAGTATAGTATAATATTGAACTGTAAATACAAAAAGGCTAATATGGGTAGAACAAAATTGTTTGACTCTCCCTGATTTGAAGGTGACAAATGGAATACAGGATAAATATTAACAGGAAACTAAGAAGCAAGTTGTAAGAACATTACCTTCAACAAATTTAAGTTTTTTGTTACTTAATCCTGATGCAATACTCTTTGGTATGCAATACCAAAGAGTACCTGGACATACCTTAACAGCATTGTAACCTAGAGAAAAGAGATTTGATGTCTCCATCCTCACTGCATCCACCCATGACTGAGGCCATTGATTTTCTATGCATTGCAAAACTCTTCTTCTATGAGTATTTGGAGATAGAGTTGAGTTTGGGTATGTGTTAGAATCACTTCTGGCATCAGGCCCAAGGTACCAGTTTTGTGTATAATCTTCCATAGTTGCAAGAAGCTCTGCCCACCCAGTCATTCCTCCAATTAGTGTATGATCAAGTGCAAGTTTCACACCAATTCTGTGAAAAATGTTGCAGTAAGTATCATTAGGTAGAATGATGTGCCATTTTAAATAAAAAGGTTGATTACTAAAGAATACTATTAACAAATAAAATATACTGTTTAAAGTTAACATATGTTGATGTAAAGGACTTCAATACAGTAACAGTACAGTACTTGATATTTCCAATAACTCAAAATATTCCTCACCTGTATGCTATTAGTACTAATTCATATAAAATGTGCTTGCTAGCAAGCCATTCTAGAGCCATAGACCAAGACAGCTCTCCAATGAAGGTCTTGTAAACTTGAGCAGTTGATGGGGCTCCACCATCTGTTCCCAGGACAATCAAGTGACATGTACCAATAAGGAGCCTGTGAAGTAAAAGATAATACTGTAACTAGGTTTGGTTGTATAACAGTAATAAAAAAAGGAATTTCCATGCCTGTGTATCTCAAGCTACAAACAGGATTGATGAGGGCATGCTCTCCCACCCCCCCTTCCATTCCTCACCCTACTTCCGATAAATGGTGGTTGAATGTTTTATAGCTAAATACTGAGAAAATACTGTGATGAAGCCATACGACGGGATCAAATCTGCATCTCTCAATGTCTCGGGCATCATGTTCTTATGATTTCATTTAGCTAAATATTGCTTTGATCTCTGTGCCAAATAAGCACTGTCCCATAATAAATACTGTAATGTGAAAGATGGGAGAAATTAAATGCTTTAATACAAGAATAATAAATCATGTGTAAATTTGTCATGTATACGAGTTTCGGTCATATGTCCTTAGGAAGTTATAAGCTTAGGGGTGGCTGGTGATGTTGCCAATATCCTTCTTCACACACATCAGATTGGAGAAATGCTAATAATGGAGTACCACGGGGTTCACTTTTATCACAAATAATGTTTATTGTCTACATAAATGATTTACCAGAAGAAATACAGAATTATATGAACATGTTTACTGATGATGCCAAGCTACTAGAGAAGGTAAGGAACTTAGATGACTGTGATGCCCTTTAAGACATGGACAAAATAAGTGCCTGGAGCATCACTTGGTAAATGGAATTTAATGTGAATAAATGTTACATTATGGAATGTGGAACAGGAGAAAATAGGCCACACACACCCTACAAATTATGTAAAAAACCCTTAAAGAATTCTGATAAAGAAAGATCTAGGGGTGGCTCTGGATGGAAAACTGTCACCTGAGGACCATGTCAAGAACATTATGCTAGGAGCATATGCTACGCTTTCCAACTTTAGAATCACGTTAAAATACACATATATGGTGAAATATTAAAAAAACTGTTCAGAACCTTTGTGAGACCAAAGTTAGAATATACAGCAGTTTGTATGGTGCCTGTATCTCAAGAAGTACATCAATAAACTTGGAAAGACATGCAAATGGTTCCCAGAACTGAAAAAGAAGAACTATGAGGAGACACTAGAGGTGATAAATATGCCAAAGCTAGAAGATTGAAGAAAAAGAGGTGATATGACCACTACGTACAAAACAGTAACAGTTATCGACAAAATTAACAAATACAGTGGTACCTCGCATAACGAATTTAATCCGTTCCATGTTCGTCATGTGAAACGGACGTCATACAAAACGAGTGTGCCCCATGTAACCAGTGTGATGCACTGTGTTTATTGTGAAATTCCCCCAGTGTGCATTACATCAAATGTTCTCCAAAATATAATTTTTCTTTGCAAAGTGATAAATTACCATCCCTGAACATGTCTATGTAAAAATAATTACCAAATTCCACTTACTTTGGGTGTAAGGGCGTGGACAAGGTGCGCTGTGACGTCATCAGGAGTTGGTCGCCCGTGTGTGAAGCTCCCAGACACGGTCGCGCAGGCCATTCAAGCACTGCGAGTTGCCACAAATATATTTTCAAATATTTTTTCTATGCATTTCCAATGCGGTTTTATTTGTTTTTTTATCGTATATGATGCATATTTGTGACCTTTACAATATGTATACAGTAGAATGTTCATAATTTTCCATGAAACTGTGATACATGTGTCAGTAATGTGTCCACAATAAATGTTTAGTCACAATATTACGTGGTAAAAATTCACTAAAATTACAATATGTACAGTTTCACATACTATTTACACAGTAACACACAGTATTACACACTCAGTACTTTGGAGGCGCGTAATAGTCAACGAAGTAGTCCATGGTACACAGCGCGACTTTGCTCTCCTTGCACCAGCTACAGATAGATTTTCGTTTCCTGTTTCATCGTTCTGTGTGCTTGCAAATAACGCACTTGTGTGCACCCTTGGCTTTAGTACTTGTAGGTGGTATGTAGCCAAGCTTGTAAAGCATAAGGTAGTATTGAAACGATTATAGGAAAAGCTCAATTTGTAAGGTAGTCTTGAAAAGATCGCTTTGTAAGGTCCCACACAGGAAGAGATTCAGCTAGCCTCAAAGAGTGTCCATCAGTCAGGAAGAGATTCAGGTATTCTTGAAAATATCAATGAACAACACCACCATGGAAGCCACTAACACTGTACATCTATGCTACTTGTATCAGATGCGTCATCATTGAACGCAGAAAACGATTCATCTATGTATCATCTATATAAATTGGAGATGGCAAGGGTGGGGCTCAGAGCTACAACTGGATACGCTCGCTGTATCATCCTCATAGGTGCTGCATCACTGGCATCCGACCGTTGTGTTACGCCCTTATTGCGCCTAGCTTCACCAATGTTATGACCTTTATGTTCTTCAAACAATAGGGGTCTGAATTGCACCGACTGAGCACAGTCTTTCAACACCGTGTGGGACAGGTGTTTGAGAGCCAGAGGCACATGTGCTACAAATGGTTGCTCACCAGTACTAACCCAGCCAGCAGCCCTTGTCTTTCATATTCGTTATAACAAAAGGTTCGTTCAGTGTTTGTCGGGTAGGCTGCTCCATTATGACAATCTTTCTTTGTTTCAAATGTGTTCCATTTGTTTTGTATTTGTCACTTACGTCTCAATAATAGAGCAGCCTACCCGACAAACATTGAACGAACCTTTATGGCATTTGTCCATTTTTCAAATTGTTTCAATTGTTCTTTTATTTTTCGTTTTTTTTTATTTAAGAAACATGGAGCAGCCGACCTGTAGACCACGGAACGAACCTTTTTGACATTTGTACTGGTTTTCAAAATTCTTCATTTTTTTTTTATTATTTACGTTTTTTGTATGTAAGAAACATGGAGCAGCCTACCTGCCGACCACCGAACGAACCTTTTGCTATAAGACAAATGAAAAATAAATATTGAACACATTTGAAGAAAGGAAAATGTCATAATGGTTTATTCAGTGTATGTAAGATAGGCTTCTCCATTATTGAGACGTAAATGAAAATTACAAAACAAATGGAACACATTTGAAACAAAGAAAGATTGTTATAATGGAGCAGCCTACCTGCCAAACACCGAACGAACCTTTTTGACATTTGTTGTATATCAGACATTTCATTTCTTTTTTCCTACAAAAACGTCAATGCTTTGCAACATCTCGGCAGTCACCCTTTTATATCCCAGCATCATTAGCATCTTTAAACAAGAACAACATAATTTATGTGCATCGTCGGAGGCGTCTAAGAATGTGCAAGAAGCAGCGCGACCCCACCATGTGGTGTTGACGTTACTCAAACCAGCGTTCGTCATACAGGACGATTTGACACTGATCGGGCCGTTCGTTACCCAAAATGTTCGTCTTTTGGGGCGATCGTTATGCGAGGTATCACTGTAATAATTTTTTAAACTGTAACCTCAAGATCAAGAAAACAGAGATTAAAACTAAAGAAACAAAGCTGCCAAAGAAACATTAGAAAGTTCACTATTGCAAACAGAATGGTAAATGGTTGTAACAAGTTGGGTGAGAAGGTGTATGAGGCCAAAACCATCAATTGTTTAAAAATGGGTCATTACAAAGAGTGCTGGGGAGACAGAGGCTCTCTCATTCTTTAACTATACTTAGGTAATTACATTTAGGTAATTAATAGAAAATCAACCTAAAAAAAGGTTGTGCAGTTTGAGGGGTTAAGAAGATTTGGCTCCTATTGTGATACCAAGGAACTGCTATGATGTCTAAAGTGGTGGTTTGGTTTTTCGAGAGTTTCTCAACTGTTTGTCACACAACATAACCAAAATGTGGTTACAATGTTGCATCAAAGTAACATTAGTAGGTATAACACAGTTAAGCTCTGTGTTTGCTGGGCATTTATTGTACAGTATATGATGAATGTGAGAGACAGAGAGATAGAGATAGATAGACTGAGAGAGTAAGAGTATTCTGCTGTGTACTTCATTAGGAATATTCAAATACAGTTTAAGACATCAAATTATGTATGCTGAACCAGATAATACTGCTCACCTGTAAGACTCTTCCAAGGTTTCATCATACTGCATTCGTTGGATATAAGCTTCTTTGTCTCCTGCAGGTTTACCACTAGAAGAGTCTGAATTTTTTGAGGTGCTGGAAGTTTTGCCACTTGGAGTAGAGTTTTGTTCATCTAAGGTCTCTACATATAAATGTCCAAAAGTATTGAGCAGAAATTTGAACCATGCATGTGGAAATGTATCTTGAACTTCATCTATTACTTCCTCATCAAATGGAAGCTCTACTATCCAACTAGGTAAAGGAGCCAAAGCAGCACTAATAGGACTTTCATAAATTGGTGAACGTATTTCAGGTTGAGCTATCATCCTCAGATTCACTTTTGCTGATGTTTTATGGTTAGTGACCTTTTTTTTCACAGTAATCTTTTCATCATCATCAGACGAGTCATACATGAGGCCTGGGATGAAATTAACTGTTTTGTCCATCTCTGTTAAATCATCCAGAGAGGACAGAGAGTCTACAGCTCTTGAACGTAATGGAGGAGGAGAGGGAGGAGGAGGAGGAGGTTCTTCATTCTTATTCTTGATGTTTAAGGCCTCTTCATCACTTTCATTTAGTGAATTATCTTCATCATCCCAAATGGAAGTAGGAGGTGTATCTCCAGTGCGAACAATTGGAATAGGATCATTCTGTATTTGGTCATTAACCCAAGCTACCCGGCTTCCTCTTCCACTCTGACTCTGAGACTGTTGAGAAACAGAAATACGCCGGCCAACTGAGAATCTGTGTTCCCTTCCTTGGAGATCAATCTCAGTCCTGTTTCGAGGAATTCCTTCTTCGAAATCATATTCTGTTCTTTTGTGTACTTTCGGCAATTTTCTTAAGTGCTCCTGACTTGCACTTTTAGAGGCACTTTTGAGAGTTTTTCTAGATTCTGCTTCAGCACTTACACCTGAATCTTTGACAGATCTATTTAATATATAATTCATTATTACATATAAGAAAGCCTTATGAAAATAGTCCCTAACAAGATTGCGTGTATCTGGGGAATCTATTACCCCTGTTAGAACATTTCTTGTGTCTGAATATCCCATAACAGTAAAGTGAGTGAGGGGAGTCAGTGTATGAAAAGCATGTGGGTTAAACACTAATGATAAGATCCCTTTTTTGGCAACTTTGTCATCATCAAATGCTCTGCTAAAGTTGGCATCAACTCTTGAAGCTTCAGCTGTGTGGCAACTTGTTTCCTGCAGCTCAAGGCCCTTCACACTATAGTATTGGTAGGTAAATCCACACTCCAAAATCTGCAATTGTGAGATGAAATCAGGTGAGCCACAGACATTCATCCCACATATTTGAAAAAATTACCTGTCTATTAAAAATTTGTTAGATACAAGGATTAAACTAATAGAACTCAATAGGTCATAACTATTGATATGTATTTTCCTGTGTGTCTATGCTTGTCATGACAACTTTTAACTTCCCTGTTTTCCATGTTCATTATTTATTTTTTTAGCATGCACTTTGTGATGGATCAACATGCAAAGTAAAATGGACTAATAAACAAACACATACAAAATGTATACAGATGAACATCAATAGTGTGTAATAATAATTACAGCAAGTTTTCCTTGCAAGCAGAGCTCACCTGGACCCACATGAACCTGTCCTCCCAGCGTAGGAGAAAATGCTCTCCAGGCTCGGTCATTCCTGCAAGCAAAAGTATTTCTTAGCATATGCATAAAAAATAATTCATCCTTTTTGGACTTATGGCTCTATTTTCCAATGCTCAATGCCACACTTTCGTAATTGAAAAAGATATTTGTCAAAGAATGAATTTAAAAATAATGTAAGGGGGAAAGTAATTTTAAACATACAAAGCCTCCCTCTTCCTTTACATTTAGTATGTTATTTAAAATTGAGAATGACAAACAAATGTAATATATATGATGAAACACTTCACATACGAGGGAGCACCAAGTGAATGGCACAATTGTTATGAAATTAAAGAAACTTTTATTGTTATTATTCTTAATATTTTGTTTTATTATTTTGATAAGGTTTTTAGTCAATGTTATTTTGTATGTTTCATTTAAATAAATTTATAATTATGTTAAGGTATGTATGAGAGAATGTTTTTTCTATGTTTCTAAAGTAGATTTCTCGTCCGTTTCTGGCAACATAGCTCTGCACCACTCGCAGAAGACTTGCCTCTTGTCAAGGACAGAGGTGTGTGGGTGAACCTGCAATTGAGGTCTCCACTTCACTATTTGTGAGGTTGTTTACTCTTAGTTTTCTCACTGTTCTTGTGAATGGAAGTACCGTAAATCTGGTGAGTTGATGAAATTATTCCATGTTGTACTATGTTCAATTTCATGTGTTTTTAAAATAAATATAAAGCACACACACACACACACACACACACACACACACACACACACACACACACACACACACACACACACACACCTGGTGAGGCTGAACACAAGGTAGCCAACCAAGCAACCTTGGAAGAATTTGACCTCACCAGTGATGAGGTCAAAAGGTGTCTGCTGGAGCTGGATGTGACAAAGGCTGTTGGGCCTGATTGAATCTCACCATGGATACTAAAGGAAGGTGCAGAAGCACTAAGTGTGCCACTCTCTATGGTGTATAACAGGTCACTGGAAACAGGAGACTTACCAGAAAGTTGGAAGACAGCTAACGTGGTCCCAATATACAAAAAGGGTGACAGGCAAGAGGCACTGAATTACAGGCCAGTTTCCTTAACTTGTATACCATGCAAGGTGATGGAGAAGATTGTGAGGAAAAGGATCGTAGAGCATCTGGAGGGAAATAACTTTGTAACGCACCACCAACATGGGTTCAGAGATGGTAAATCGTGCCTCACAGGTTTAATAGAATTTTATGACCAGGCAACGAAAATTAGGCAGGAAAGAGAAGGGTGGGCCGACTGCATTTTCCTGGATTGCCAAAAAGCCTTTGACACAGTACCCCATAAAAGGCTGTTAAAAAAGTTGGAGCAACAGGCAGGAGTAAAAGGGAAGGTGCTCCAGTGGATAAGGGAGTACTTAAGCAACAGGAAACAGCGAGTTACGGTGAGGGGGGAGACATCAGAGTGGCGAGATGTCACCAGCGGAGTCCCACAGGGCTCAGTACTTGGACCCATCCTGTTTCTAATATATGTGAACGATCTTCCAGAGGGTATAGACTCATTCCTCTCGATGTTTGCTGATGATGCAAAAATTATGAGAAGAATCAAGACGGATGAAGATAGACAGAGACTATAGGAAGACCTGGATAAACTGGAGGAATGGTCTAGAAAATGGCTGCTAAAGTTCAACTCGGGAAAGTGTAAGGTGATGAAATTAGGCGAAGGGAGCAGGAGGCTGAACACAAGGTATCATCTGGGAGGGGAAATCCTGCAAGAGTCAAATAGAGAGAAGGATCTGGGGGTTGATATCACACCGAACCTGTCCCCAGAGGCCCACAGCAAAAGAATATCATCCGCGGCATATGCTAGACTGGCCAAAATAAATACTGCCTTCAGAAACTTGTGTAAGGAATCTTTCAGAACCCTGTATACCACTTATGTAAGACCAATCCTGGAGTATGCAGCTCCAGCCTGGAGTCCATACCTAGTTAAACACAAGACAAAGTTAGAGATGATTCAGCGGTATGCCACCAGGCTCGTCCCGGAACTGAGAGGATTGAGCTACGAGGAAAGGCTAAAGGAGCTGAACCTCACATCCCTGGAAAACAGAAGAGTAAGGGGAGACATGATAACCACCTACAAAATTCTCAGGGGAATTGACAGGGTGGACAAAGACAAACTCTTCAGCACGGGTGGGACACGAACAAGGGGACACAGGTGGAAACTTAGTACCCAGATGAGCCACAGAGACGTTAGAAAGAATTTTTTCAGTGTCAGAGTAGTTAATAAATGGAATGCACTAGGAAGTGATGTGGTGGAGGCTGACTCCATACACAGTTTCAAATGTAGATATGATAGAGCCCAGTAGGCTCAGGAATCTGTACACCAGTTGATTGACAGTTGAGAGGCGGGACCAAAGAGCCAAAGCTCAACCCCAAAGCACACAATTAGGTGAGTACACCCACCCACACCCTTGGTAGTGTATTTGAGTCCTACAGTTTCAAAACAATTGTGCCATTCATTTGGTGTTCCCTCTCATACTTGGAGTTATATTTTACATTTGTTTGGTATTAACAGTTTTAAATAATGTACATGAAATGTAAGTAAGAAAGCGGGAGGGTTTGTATGTTTAAATCCCTTTCCCCTCCAACAACAATCATATTGGGAGTTTTATTTGAATAGTCTTTGAACATATATATTCAGAATTTAGGTTCCATGACCCCACAGAAAACATTTTGTGACCCCTTTGGCGGGTCTCAAAATAAATTTTCCAACCCCCTTGAAATTTTGATTTTGTGAACCTCATTGGGGTTCTTAAATCACTGGTTCCCAGTAATTTAAGAAGCTAAACCTGTATGAATAATATAGTATAGATTTCCACAGTAAATATAAAACATCATATGATGTATGATAAATTATGTAACAGCTATAGGTACAATATTTAAGTGTACTTTCTTGCTACAGTATATCTTCTTGGCACTACTTAACATTCTTAATAAATCTACAACAATCATTTACATGGTAATTCTTTAGATATAAATGCACTTCATTCTTAATACATGCTCTACAACCTATCTAATGTTTTTCTGAAATTCTTTGTAAGATTTCTATCATTATTGATGTTTGTAAGTTTGACTTTAATTTTTTTTTTTTTTTTTTATTTATATGTTTTATTTATTAAAGGCTTTAGAATGTAAACATCAACAACACAAAATTTCAGTTACAAACCTAATGATCCACATTGCAACAAATTGTGCAGAGCAAATATAACGTGAGGAGTCAATTGCTCATAATACACAGAGTCATCGCATGAGTTGGAGGACCGGCCTACAGGATATGACCAGAACCTCAGAGGACGCGGGAATCCCAGTAAAAAGATGGGAAGCGTGAAGACTGGGAGGAGAGGAGCTGAAATAACTGTTGACAGTACCACAAGCCCAAGAAGAATAGGTGATATGCCAATGTTGAACCCTGCAAAGATTTACTAATGTCAATCCTGAGATGAAAGAATTAAATCATTAGCTTATCTTTATAAAATTGAGTACAGTATAAGATTAAAGCAAGAAATTAAATTCTCCATTACTACAATGATTTAATTCATCAAAAGCCCTATCTTAAATGTTTTTTACACAATTACCAGGCACTTACCTCATGTTGATAATCTAGTTTGTATCTGTGTTAAATCTAACTGTTTGCAAATTTTGTATTATATTCTACACAGATATTTCCTTAATTGTTAGCCTGCTAACTAGTTTATATTATGCACTACTGATCTGCTTACATAATGTTTAGCTCCTCAATTATCAAAAGTTTAGTGAACCAGCGGTATTTTTACCAGACTTTTAATACTAAATGTAAGCAGTTGTAGTTATAACAAACTATTGATTTTTTTACTGTTTCAGTCTTACTATTCACTGAAATCAACATCATCTGGAATACTTGTTTGTTTTTCCTGATGATACAGTTTCTCATAATATTCTGCCACTTGGTTTCTATTGTAGTTCCACTCTGTAGAGTGGATCCTCTAAAATTTAGATCTCATTATTAAAACAAAACCTTAAAAATTAGAAAGGAAATTAATTTTTTTTTTTTTTAAAGTCTGGAAAGGTGAACCTGAACTTCCAAATCTACCTACAAAATCTGACTTATTTGGTATCAGAATATTGTACTATGCAAGCATATTTGAAGTTTGCTTAATTTTTCAAAGTTATGGCACTTTAAATGTCCCTGCTTGGTCATACTGGTGCAAGGGACAGATAGGAGAAGGCTGATTCAAGCCTGAAATGACTGTCAGAAAGCACATTAAAAAATAACTGAAAGCTCTACTAAACACTAATTGGCATTCTAGGGGCTTCCAATTAGCTACCTAGCCTATCAGCTACACCTGAGTGCCACCAGGTTGTAGCACCATTACTCAAACTACTTTGCAATCTGATAGGCTTTCATGCAAGTTGCTGGGCAAGTAAAAAATGGAATTAATTTAGTGATTTGTTTATCCTTAGTTATATTCTACTGTGCAATGGATTTCAGACGTCCGAGTCTCTTTGGGCTATTTAACAGACTGGGTTCTTATACCCAAAGACTTTTTATTTCACTTTTAGTTAGAGCAGCTGTAAAATTTGGTAATGACTGGCAAAATACTGTAAAAGTAAATTTTGAAATTTTAGAAACACACCAGAATTTGGAATGGGCTGGGTACCAATTAGTTTAGGTTTCTGAAATTCCACTGTACTGTATTTAGCAATTTTCAGTTTTGAAGTTATTGCAATGATTATATTAGTGTGTGTTTCAGAGCTTCCCAGCTATCTAAAAGCAGCCATTTTTGTAAGGCAGGAAGATTGGATGAAGGATGACATTAAAAGATTAATATTACACTAACCTAGAAGCAAAAAACTGATGGAATTATGCTGCTTCTTGTTTGTAAATGGTGTTATCATAAAGAGCATAATACTTGTCAGCCTTCGAATCATCCTCAAACCCCACAGGTGGGCAAGACTTATAAGAAATATTCGTGTGGCAGGTGATAAAGACTCCCAAAACTCCAGAGATAGATTAGCTTCCCGTCGGATTAACTCGACTACATAATACACAGAGAGCTGTAAGAATGATGCCTGAGGAAACTGCCATATCTGTGAAAAAGAAAGAAAAAAATAGTTATCATAAATTTACAGTATATTTAAAAAAAAAGTTGGACAACAGGTCCTCACTCTAACAGACTATGGTCTAACAAATTTCTGGATGGTCTGAATAGTTAGACCATTCTGACTATGGTCTGAATACATAGTTTATGTTTGATACAAATTGCTTAGTGGAACATACAAATGTTCGATTAAGTGAGGATTGTTTGCCCAAGCCACTGCTGAGCCTGAGCATTGAGATACAGCTGTGTTAGCAGCATCCACCTAGTCTATTGGGTAAACTATTAAACTGTGCTAAAAGTTTAAACAAAGTTTAAACAACTTAACACTTTCGCTCTTTGGGCAAGAGAGCTCCGTGCCACCCCAAGGTGCGCTTGGCATTCCACGGGAGCACGCGGTAATACTGAAAAATGTATACTCTTTTCAACTTTGTCATCTCAATTCTCGTCCTAGGTTTTTCAATTTGGTATCATTGTGTCTGCAATAGAATTCGCTACAGGACTAAAGACATATAAAGTTCGAAAGCCTGGTGAATCATCCGCAACAAACAGAGAAAGTGAAAGTGTGTTACCCAGGAGCGCACAGGAGCAAAAAAATGTGTACAATCTTTTCACTTTGGTCACATCAATTCTCGTCCTAGGCCTTTCATTTTAGTATCAATGTGTTTGCAATAGAATTCCCTACAGGAGTATATGCATATAATGTAAAAAACCGTGGCGTGGTCCACCCGCTGCCGCGCCACCCCCAAGGTATGCCTGGCATTCCATTAGAGTGTGCAGTAATACTGAAAAGTGTATACTCATTTCAACTTTGTTCACCTCAATTCTCGTCCTAGGTCTTTCATTTTGATATTGTGTTCACAATAGAATTCCCTATAGGAGTATATGCATATATAAAGTCCAAAAGCCTGGCATGCCACTCACAGCAAAGGAGAAAGTTATGTTACCCCGTTACCAGAATGTTACCCCGTGAGCACTCATCGAGAGCAATAAAATGTGTTTACTCTTTTCAACTTTGTTACCTTAATTCTCGTCCTACGTCTTTCATTTTGGTATCAATGTATTTGCAATGAAATTCCCTACAGGAGTATATGCATATAATGTCCAAAACCGCGGTACACCCCTCCCGCAGCCAAGCTGAAAGCAGGCCAAATTTTTAAATTTTTGATGCCATACTGCATTGTTACCGAACATTTGCCTACTAAATTTTTTACGCCACCCTGCGTCGTTAACGGTCGAAAATGTTAAATATGACATTATTTTATAAATTATATTATCAAATGCTAATATTTAAAAAATATATACATAGAACAGCCAGATGTGTATATTAGTCTCACCATGTATTATTAAGGATCATCCTTGCCCAAAGGAATTATAATGGCAAATCCAAATATTATTAAAATACATAAAACTTAAAAATAATAATATACTAAAATATGCCAAATTATTATACATGTACTTATGACCACTTAATATGCTATATGCTGTATCATGCATTAAATGCAAGCAATAACTTGATATGTACTTAAAAATTAATTTGCTGTATGTACTGTATATAATAAACAAACAAGAATGACATTGACCATGCTTCATGCAGTGTACATCAATATTCCTAATAAGCAAATATAGTAGTATATATAATATAAAGTGGTTGATAATGCAGTACTGTATTATAATTTCAAGGCACTATATATGAAACACATTCCAAACTCTGTTTACACATCAGATTTTATTGTGTGAAAATGAATGAAATGAACTGTAAAACCATTTTAGTGACCAAAATTAGTCAGGGTTTGCAAAACAAAAAAGAAACCCCAGCATTAAATGTAATGAAATGCCATTTTCTGGGTGAGCCCCGGAGGTTCCCCTGGAGTTATTGGGCTAATATGCAAATCATTAGACGGGGCATTAGTCTATGGAGTTCAGCCTATCTGGACCACGAGCCAGATCCTGACCGCCTTAGAGAGGCGCAGGAAGTAATGACCTTGGAAAACCCCCAGTTGTTGGGGGTTTTCCTTATCTGCCATCGACTGGGGTTAAGCACCCAGAAAGGTAGGCAAAACAAAACAGACTCCCACATGGTAAGAAAATTGCAACTGAAAACCAAACAGAGAGGCAGAACTCCCTCCAAACCCAAGCAAACAAACAAGTTCCCCCCCCCCCCCCCTTGGATCTGGATCCTCTGCACTCATGTTGTTATCCAAACCACACACACTAGAATTTGAAGAGATGACGACATTTCAGTCCGTCCTGGATCATTATCAAGTCGATTGAAGAACACTAATAAAAGATTAGACAATCGACTTAATAATGGTCCAGGACGGTCCGAAATGTCGTTGTCTCTTCAAATTCTAGTGTGGAATGGTCAACATTTTTCAGCCATATTATTGTGACTCTTCATCTGCATGTTGTTGCTAAACATGCCAAACACGGCAGCCAACACAGCAAACTTCCTAATGTCATGGGGCACGAGGATGGACCACAGGCTGGCTAGACTTAATAACCCTGTGGACAACCTGGAGGGTCCGACAGAACCCATGCCACTCTCCCAATGAAAAATGGGCACGCTACCAGCCAGGAAGACTCCAGAACCTCCAAACGCACCCAATATGGGGAAAAAGAACCGAACTCAAATAAGAACGGATCCATAATGGAGGCGGAATCTGAGTTTCGCAGGAGGTATGCAGCAAGAGCCTCCCGAACCTCCCGTGTGGAGATACGAGGCAGAAAACCTCTGGAAGGATGGGTTTGAGGAACCCAAGGGAGCTTGGAACCAAACCCGGGGAGGAGCCGAACTCAAATCATATTTATACAGGGAAGGGGGAGGTAAGAAAACCTCCCCTCCCCCTGCAACAACAAGCCCTGCTAAGAGGGCACTAACACCCAAACAGGGTCAAAGGAAGGGGGGGGGGAAAGGCCCTGGGTCAACTCCTCCCCAGCCCCAGGATCCCCCAAGTCGGGACCCGGGGCAGAGCAGTCCTCCATACCCTCCACCCCTGAAGAAAAGGCAGAGTCCAGGGAAAAGGCTGAAAAGAAGGGGGCCTGCTGGTGGGACCCAGAAGCCTCTGCAGGAGGAACTGGCTTGAATGCCTCCGTCCCCAACCCGAATGGGGCAACCCCCCAAGTTGCGCGAGTCTCATTACCAGCTAAACCCTGCTCCGACTCCGAAACCCTCAGACGTTTGGGAGCCAGAAGCAGGGAAGGGGAGGTGGTGCAGGATGAACAACAGGGAAAGGACCAGGGAGCACGGACTGAACCAAAGTTGAAGCGACTAACGCCCCCAGGTCTGGGTCCCTATAACCAAAGCAGGGCAGCCACGGGGCATCTGGGTGGGAAACCAACCTAGTGCATTGCAGCAACCAAAACCTAGCATGCAACGTGGATGCTCCCTGTACCCTAACAGTAATGTCATCAGAATAGTATTGGAGAACAAGCAGAGAACACGACTCGCAAGACTCCGGGTCAAAGGTGTCGTTGACCCAACAGGCAGCATGACGGAGGCAAAAGAGGTGACTGTCACCCTGAGACAAGGGCACACAGCAACCTTTGAACCCGCACAAGGCGGGCTGGAACTTGGAAGACGCATCCATTGGTCCACCGAGCCCCAACAGGGTTTTCCAGGGCTCGTAGGCTGACTGCTACGGGAAGCCCGGGCAAGGTGTTGCTAACCGGTTAAGACCCAAAGCTAACAAGGGGGAGATCAAAACACTGAAACCCCTGCGACATGTACAATCATGGGGGCCTAGCAGAGGGCCACCAAAATATTATAAGTGGAACTATAGCCACTCCAGGCAGACCCCCACCAGGCAAGAAAACAAAAACATACGAAAAAACGAAAAACCCCGCAAAAGTATAGCGTCCCCAGAGGAAACAGGTACCGGCCACTGCTAGGTGGGCAGGCTACACAGCACCTTGATGCCCCAACCAGCATGATACCACTTCCTACCCAAGGCCAAACAATGGCCACAAAGCCCCAGCTGGCCCCAAGGGCGAGGTAAATGCCGAGCGCAAGAACTTCCATGGAAATGAGTTCCCGAATGCCCCAGGGAAGATAACCCTAACACGCAAGGGCAGTACTCGCAGGGAGCTTAGGGAAGGAAGCCCCTAAGCACATGCAGCTCCCGGCACTGATGAGGAACACGTGGCCACCACACACAACGACACAACAGAAGTCGCCACGAAGGCAAAACACCGCCAAGGCATTTGAGGCCAGAGAAGAGTCCGCCCCGGATCACATTAGCGAATGAACTGGAGTGCTGGGTAGCCAGCACGGGAAGGCTCCCCAAGCAGAGGGCTCCCCCCTTCCCTCTCTCGGGGAGAGGAGGGCTGTGCGGACGAGCGGCGCGGCAGTAGTGTGTGACAATTGCTTGTTTGCTTGTTTCCTTGGGATTGGAGGGAGTTCTACCTCTCTTTTCGGTTTTTTGTTGTAATTTTCTTACCATGTGGGGTTTGTTTTGTTATGCCTACCTTTCTGGGTGCCTAACCCTGGTCGATGGCAGATAAGGAAAACCCCCAACCACAGGGGGGTTTTCCAGGGCCATTGCTCCCTGCAACCTCTCTGAGGGGGCCAGGTTCTGGCTCGTGGTCCCCAGTAGGTCGAACTCCTTAGACTAATGCCCCGGTCTAATATAACATTAGCCCGATAGCTCCAGGGAGCCAAAGGGGCTCCCCACAGAAAGAAGTACATAAATACAAACTTACATGACACAATCTGTCTTAAGCTAAATTGACAAATAATGTTTACAAATAAAGAATAGTAATACTATTCTACACATTTCTCAGTTATCAAGGCTACTGCTATTCAACAGTAAACATACAAATATACAAAAAATTGAACCTAACTTAATCAGGCCAATTGGAAAAATAGAATGAAAGCCTTTATGTTTGAGTAACTCATTAAATGAGGAGTCTTTGCAAGCATATCAAGAATAACATGTGACATTAAGATTTAATATGGGAAATTCAATTTTTACAAAGTAATATTATAACTATTTATGGAACTATTGAAGTAAATTGTTATAATATATATGGAGAGCAAAGAAAATATTACTTTTTGTGTCTAAGCATAACAAAAACAAAGCAGGCAAGGTGAAATTGCGAATACTGTACTAAGCACTTTTTCCCGGAAGGTACCTCTGAGTAGCTTCCTGAGCTTATGCACTTGCATCACTAAACCTTAAGACTGTATCAGGCCTCTGAGACATATTGATCTTTTGGGAACCAGGATCAGAATTTTATTCATTCTACAAAGTTTAGGGCAGTCTGGGAATAAGAAATCAACCTAAAACTGTAGAATCTACCAAAGAGTTGAAAAACAAAATAAGCAACTGCTTGAAGAGAAAGTAATGAAAAGTAATGAAATGAAAAGTAATGAAAACAAAAAAAAACAGCGTTCGGACCAAACCAAACCACAGCAGGGGAAGGACAAGGGGTGTGGATTGAACCAAGGCCGAAGAGACCCACACCCCCAAGTCCAGGTCCCTATAACCAAAACGAGGCAGCCTCGGGGCTTCCTGGGAAGCAATCAACCTAGCGAGCTCATTGCAACAACCTGAATCTAACGTGCAACGACTGCACTGCCTGTACCTGAATAGAGTCGTCAGTGGACTGGGTAAATTGAGTCACAAACAAGCAACAAAACTCGCAGGACTCTGGGTCAAAGGTGTCACTGACGGATGCAAAAAACCAGCGTTGAATGTAATGAAACGCCATTTTCTGGGTGAGTCCCGGAGGCTCCCCGGAGCTATCCCAGGCTGATATGCTAATGTCAGACTTTGGCATCAGTCATGTGTATGGAGTTCTTAGGCCTACTGGGGACCACGGCCAGAACCGGGCCCCCTCAGAGAGGCAAGGGGAGCAATGGCCTATAGAAGCCCCCGTGTAGTTGGAAGCATTCTATGTCTGCCATCGACCGGAACAGGCACCCAGAAAGGTAAGCGCCCCAAAACAAACCCCTATTCTGGTTAAAATTGCTACCTAATACCGAACTAGTGGACAGAACTCCCCAACCGAAAACAAGCAAATTAGCATGACGTCACACACGTGCCGCGCCGCTGTCTGCGCAGCTCCCCCCTCCCCGGGAGGGGGAAGGGGGAGCCCCAGACCCCCGCGCCGGCTACCCACACCTCAGTTCTGAGGCTGGATGTCAAAACACGCGAAAAACCGCCGACCGGAGGGAGGGAGGGATGCCGGGGAGCCTCCGGGACTCACCCAGAAAATGGCGTTTCATTACATTCAACGCTGGTTTTCTGGGGGGAGCCCCGTCGGCTCCCCGGAGCTAACTACCCACAGACAGAAAAAGAGGGACTTACCCGGGAGGCGGTCGTCGCTCACCCCTCAACTCGAAGCCGAGACAACTGGCTGCAACCGCCGACCCAAAGCAACACAGGCCCGACGAGGGCCAGGAACATTCACAAGGTAACGAGCAGCCAGGACCCTGTTCGACCGCCAAAATCCCCGTGCCCGAATATCAGCCCAAGATATGTTACCGAAGATGGCAGCAAGAGCGGCAAACTTAATTACGAACGTCGTGGGCACGGGGATAGACCACAGGCTGGCTAGACTAAATAACCCTGTGGACGACCTGAGAGACCTGTACCCTCAAACAAGGACGAAGGGAAACAGGATCAACACAAAGTGCGTCCACGGACACAGAAGCCGTGGTGCGCAAATAACGGTGAAGAGCCGCAACTGGACAGAACACATGATGCACCCCGACCTGACCAACCACGCATCAACAACCCAAGGACCCCTCTGGAAAGCAGCAGTCTCATTCTTCGCCAGAAAAGAAGGAGACGGCTGCAAACGAACAAACCTATCACCTCGACCAAAAGAGCAGAAACCCCTGCGCCGGAGGAGAGCATGAAGCTCCCCAACCCGACCCCCAGAGGCCAATGCCAACAAAAAAAGCCTTGGAAAACAATCCTGAACCGAAGGGGCCACAACAAACCGAGGAGAAGACAAATAAGAGAGCACTCTGTTCAAAGACCAGGATGGCTCAGGTGGCGCATGAGCAGGCCGGAGGTGAAACAACGTCCGAGACAGCTTGCGAAACGGTGCAGAAGTAACATCAATACCGAAAGCAAAAGCGGCTCTGCACGATATGAGGCGACAGTATTCGGCATAAGATGACGGTCCTGAAACAACCACGAGAAAAGGACAAGACAACCCGAACAGAAAAGCGAAGTAACACGACGAAGAGACAAAAAGAACCGGAAGGACCGCCAGGAAACTTCATACTGCCGCCGAGACAAAGCCTGCAGGTGGGACACCATCAAAGAAGCCACCTGATCACCATACAGATGGTGATAGACTCGAGTCAAAAAGACCATACTGCAAAGACTCGAGGAGAAGATCGAACCAGTCTCGTAACGGACCGGAGCGATCTGCTGAAAGTCCTCTGCTGAAAAAGGGAAAACCTCCAAGTTCGGACACCGAGCAAGCAGCGCCTGAAACCAAGGCTGGGCTGGCCACCAAGGCGCCAAGAAGACTACTCTCCCCTGGTAAGTCTCCAAGCGAGCAGGACCTGGAGCAACAGCTGCTGGAAGGTAGGTACAGGACCCCCACCTCGACCAGTCCTGCCGAAAGGTATCGACCCCGACGGCCTTCGGGGAAGGGCGCCACATATACTGGAAGACGCCTCGACCACGCTGACGCGAAGAGGTCCACCTCCAGGTGCACGAACATTCAGATGGCAGAGCCAACTGAATGAGTCGGTGTCGACCGTCCATTCCGTGGACAGGGGAATGAACCGAGACAGGCCGTCTGCCTGGATGTTGGACACCCCCCCCCCCCCGGACGTGAATAGCCAGGAGAGCCAAACCCCGAGAACTCAGCAGACGAGTCACCCGAAGCGACCAGCCCTAAAGAGCCAAGGACCGCATCGAACCCCTTCGGTTCAGGCAATGAAGCACCGGGAGCAGTCCGAATGGAGCCGGATTGTCGATCCGATACGACCCGATTCCTCCGAAGCGAAAACCACACTGCCGTGAACTCCCGCACCGTGCTGTGGGCCCGACGGAAGGACGGACCCCAACGCCCTGGCTGGCCTGGTGAGCACTGGTCACAAAGCCCCAGCCGAGAGATAACGCGTCCATGAATACATCGAGCGAGGGCTCTGGTAGGCGCCAAGGCACTGAACCCCGAAAAACCCGAAGAGGAAGCCGGTGACGCAGCAGCCAACACAAGGCCCCCAGGGAGAGAGGCGGAAGGGGGAACCCCGAAGGAACCAGAACAGCCGTCGAAGCCAAACCCGACCCGGCGGGTAGACCACCATCGCGAAGTTCAGGCTCCCGCACAGCCCCTCGAGCAACCGCCGGGTGACCCGAGGGCCCTCCAGAAACAGACGAAGGCGGGACCGCAGCCGCAGGAGAGACTCCGGAGGGAGAGACAAGGAGGCGGTCCGAGAGTCCCACACGAGACCCAGCCAAGTCCGAACCTGAGAGGGAACCAGATGGGACTTCCTCCAGTTCACCAAGAACCCGAACCCGGCGAGCTGGGAAAGAACCAAATCCCTGGCTAGCAAGCAAGCTGACTGGCTGGGAGCCCAAACCAGCCAGTCGTCGAGGTAGGCCAACACCCGAACACCTAGGAGACGCAAACGAGCCACCACAACCTGTGTAAGGCGTGTGAACACGCGAGGTGCCAGGTTCAACCCGAACGGGAGACAACGAAAGCGGTAACTCA